CAGGGAATGCGAAGGGAATTTTGACCTAAATTTAGTGTTTCTTCTGCAGAACTTACTCATGATTTGAATTGCTTAATTTTGTGGCACTTTGTTTTGTTTGATAATAATGTAGGAATAGGTGCGGCGTTTTGCAGTTAAATTTGAAAAGTGTGTATTATTTTCGCGAAAGTTTAAAAATAACTATTTCTAGCATATCTGCTATACAGTGGCTGTGCCATGCGAACACAAATAAGCAGAACCCGCAGAAACGGCTCCTTCGATTCTTTCAATCACTTTATGCTTGTCTGGTAAGACTGCTGACAAAATGAACTTCTATTTGAACTAGAACAGAAGGAAATGTAATAGATAGTGATTAACGATTACTGGGCTGTATACAACTGGTTTAGGGCGGTGGGGAAAGGTGTGGCACACTTTGTATAATCCGTGCTCGAAGACGAGACGAGGGGAAACAATGTATTAGACGAAGACGACTAACAGTAACAACAGTGAACAATGTAACCCAGAGAAGCTCCTTATATAGCCTGCTATGAGTGGTCTGTGGCACGCGCGACGTTGGACATAGTTGCTGCATGTCGATCTGTCACAGCACATTGGCCAACGTGATACATTTTGGTAGGAGTTCAACACACACAAACCTGAAATAGCTCTATTTGGTGGGTAGGAGTAATGAACTGTGACTGGTAGCAGTAAGCAAGGTCTCTTGGGGACATGCAGAGTTTCCGAGCGTTCTTTGTTTTTATGGTGTTTGTCTTTGTTTTTGTGCAAATGTTCGGGTAATTTTTTGTTTGGGATTGTTAGAGTAATTGTTGAGGGTATCCCATGTTAGTGATGTTACTGCGATACTCCCTTTCGCCGATTCAGCTATACCAGATTCGTCGTTTTGGGTTGCATCCTCAAGTAAATTCCCAAAATTCAATTTTTGTTCCTTCTTCAGAGATTGCCCGAGTGATCGTTTACTTTCTTGCTGGTACCACATTTTGGTCGACGATGCCCACTGTTTGTCGGAGTGTAAATAATGTGCCTTGCCCATCAGTTTTATCTGCATGTATATCCAGTTTTGGAATGATT